CCCCAAAACCCCAAAACCCCAAAACCCCAAAACCCCGAAAAATTAGTAAATTTTTGAAGATTTTTATAAAATTTTAACATTTTGTTCAGGATTTTTGGAAAATGATAGGTACCCCATTTGAGATTAAGAACGATGAGATTCATAATAAGAGAGTGTCCAAGAAGGATAGAGGCCAGAATGATGAATACGCACTGAATGAGAAGGGACAGAGAAGGTTCCATGGCGCCTTTACGGGGGGATTCCATGCAGGTTATAATAATACCGTAGGCAGCGAGGCTGGCTTTAAGCCAGCACAGTTTGATCGGAATAAGAAGTATACAGTGTTTGATATTATGGATGAGGAGGATCTTGGAGATCATATCCAAGGCCAAACTATTCAGACTAAAGAAGGATTTGATACCTTAGGAGATGGAATCAAGAGCGAGCTTAAAAATCAACTTGCCCATGGAGCCCTAGCCTCTATGATTCCTGATGAACTTATTGTCGCTCCAAAATCATCCATTGGATATAAACTTCTGAAGAAATTAGGCTGGAATGAGAGAAGCAAGAAGAATAAACACTTCACTATGGAAGATGAAGAAAGTGATGACTCTGTTGATTTTGATAAAATGGGACTTGAAGTCTCTGATTTCATTAATGCTGATGCTATTAACAATAAATCTGGAGTTGGAGTATCCTCTCTTGCTGAGAAGAAAGGGAACAAAAAGATCAGAGAAAAGCTTAAGGAGAAGACAAAGCATGAAACTAAAATCATAAAGAAAGATTATGATAATTATTACAAAGGATCTCTTAAATTCAAGACCGAAAAATATGGGCTTGGATACATCCCTACTTCACAGGATTACATCAGAGAGAAGAATAGGCAGATCAATGAATTCGGAGAAGAGACTGACAAGTCAATAGTTGAGGGAAAAGATAATAGAATTGATATGGGCAAGCTCGACTTTGACGGTCTGGTCTATCACAATGAAGACAAAGCAGAAATGGAAATTATGGATGAAATCGGACATGATGTTCAAGATAAAATCAAAGATAAGCAAATGCAAAACTTGTTCAAATCCCGAGAAGAGAAAAATGACTTTTACTCACACGGGTTTTTGCAAACTGAGAAAATTGAGGAAAGTAAGATTCTCGTTCCAAAGGATTATGATCCTCAATGGAGAAGAAACCAAAATATGGCAAATCCTTATGCAGGAAAACATTCTTTCTCTTCAAGGGGAAGAAAATTAGATGCTAATAAAAGAGCGGAGCTTCTTGGGGAAGGTCCTGCTGTGCCTACAAATAAAGATGTACCAACTTATGATCCAAATCCCTCAAATCTTGATTCTAAATTTAGCAGTAGTGGGATGGATCTTCTTCCAGAACACATGATGAAGAAGGAGGACAATCTCAAGGGGACCAAACACCTCTTGGTGGATATTCCATTCAAAGATGATAAAAACAAGGTGCAAAGATTTAAAAACTATGTTGAGGAGATAGAAAACCAGATGGTGATCTTTGACTCTAGCAGCAACATGATGACAGGTTCCCAACTACGAAAAGAGAAAGAAGAGTTTGCTAGCCTCTACCAATTAGAACTTGGCCTTCGTAAAGAGAAAGAGTCTAGCGGAAAATATGCTTCAGGAGTTGTCTCAAGTAAGCATCTCAGAGAAGAGATCACTGAAGAGAAAAAGAAAGCATTAATAGAAGAAATCGAGAAAGAGAAGAAAGCTAGAACGGTTACCACTGACTGGCAGCCCTGCGCTATATTGTGTAAGCGGTTTGGGCTTATGGATCCCTTCCAAAATAAGAAAGACCTCGTTGGAGACTTCAATAAAGTTCCTGAAAGAAATTCATCAAGAAGTAGAAAGGTTGAATTTGTAGAAAAAGCAAGCGGTCCTATAAAACCAGCAATGGGAGATGAGTTTTTCTACAAAATCCAGAAAACAGTTGGAAGGAATGACCTCATACAACAAGAAATTGATAAAGGAGAGAAAGGAACAGCTATGAGCTCAAAAGTACAGGAAAAGGTACAAAATATTACTGCTGCTGGCTACTTTGATATGGATAGCGATTCTGGAAGTGATATGGAAGGAGTTCAAGAATCAAAAGCAAATATTCAGTCAATTGTTGAAATCTCTAAAAGGCCAGACCAAGATGTTTTTGAAAATATATTCAATTAATTTTCAATCTTGGATATTCTAAGGGGTTTTGGGGTTTTGGGGTTTTGGGG